CTGGTGGATTGTGGAATGTAAGCCTGAAGAAGCAGAGTTTAATTCTACAGAGGTATTTTCATAATGTATTACCCTGACAGGGCTCCTGGTGTTGGTCCTTAGACACTCCTGGGATGGCTCCATGGAAACATGCAGGAAACCTTGGTCACATGACATGATGCGGAGATGTCAGAGTTGCATGAATGGAGTTATGGAGGAAGGCATGAAAAGACTTCGAGAGGTAGGCATGCTAGAGTGGACTTTCCCACTCAACCTGAGAATTCACTGGATAACTGTATTCCCTGCGAGAACCCAGAGAACCCTCTGAATTAGGAAGACAAGGCACGTTCTGAAATAGGAGGCATCAGCATTCTTGAGAGTCTCGGTGGACGCTGTGCCCTGTGGGGAGGACTATAGGAGATGCTGTTAAGGAATTAGCTCCCTAGAGTCAATGGAAATGATGTGATTTCAAAATAAGATTCCAAATGGGCAGAATTAGTGTGAGAAGACGTAAAGCCAGAAAAGTAGCCAAGGAGCTCTGTTCAACAGAAATCTGGGGTGACAACTAATAAACCACAGTGTTCCTAGGGGTAAGGAAATTGGGCTACCACAATGGTATTCCACATATATTTTCCATATATACATGTATATACATATCTCATCTATATATGTAATTGGAACATATTAAGAGATGATGAATGAAAGAATGATGTCAGCTCCTCCCATTCTCCAACTCAGAGTCCTTTGAATGAAGGGGAAGGCAGATTGTCTTGAGGGAGAACCTTGTAATGTTCTCGCAAGTATATATGGTAGTGATTCTCTGAGCCTTTTCCCGCAAAAGATGGAAGACCAATTACCTGAGAAATTTATACATTTAGGGAAGGAGAATAACCAGGTCTTTCAAGGCTGTTGGAAACAGCATCTGAGCTAACTTTGATACCAAGAAACCCATATTGTCAACGTGGTCCCCCATTAAAGTGAGGACTCATAGAAGCTCCCACTCTAATGTTAGTTTTAAAGGCCCAAGTCTATCTAAAAGTGCAATCCCATAGGTGGATGGGCTGACTGTGGTGTCTACCCTGTGTCTGAGAATATCAGAGTGGATGTGATGAATGGACATAAAACAAGGAGGCTGCCCTCCACTCCTGGGTAGTCCAGGCAGGCTACATTCCTTTATTCCATTTGGAACCCGTATGGCTTATTCTCTTTCACTGACTGGAGCTCACACTCTGGCTATTGTAGCCTGTCTTAAATCTTTTTCTCTTGAAAATGTCTTGACTTTGAGGCAGGTCTTAGAAAATGACTCTTCCTGTCTCAAAATGCAGTCCTTCATTCTAATTGGTGAAGTGGAAGCACATGGCTGGTGTAAAGAATAAGAAAGTAATTAGGAAACAGCAGGAGAAGAAAGCAGGTAAGCAACACTTACTGTGAATAATTAATTTCTGTTTAGAAAATGTCACAGCTGATGTGTCAAAGGCCCTGGTATGCAGGAATGAGATGAAACAAATGTGGTCATGAGGAAGAGGTTTCTGAATAATGACAGAGAAGCTTGAGAAATCCAGAGTCCAGAATACTGAAGGGGAGCAGTACTGGGTTCATGTGTATCTGGTTTCTTGTCTATTGGATCCTCTTTCTTCCAGAACCCTAAACCTTGAATCAGTCTGGCTCCTAGAAGAGTGTTTCTCAAAGTGAACTCCATGGACCACCTGAATCAGAAGCTCGTGAGGCTTTTAATAATAATAATAATAATAAAGTACAGGTTCTGGGAAGCACCCAACACAATAAGACAGAATCTTGGAATGAAGGGTGAAAAGGTGCATTTTAAAATAACCTCCAGAGCTGATTCTTATTCAAACTGACTTGAAAACTGCTGCGCTGGTGGCAAGAAATCAAGGGACTGTCCTGAGCCTGACACATGAAGGTATTCTGGAAAGCTGCTCACGGGCTCCCTCGCAGCTCACCAAATCTGCCTCACTCTAATCTCTCCCAACCCCTCAAACTGCTGCTTTGACAGATTCTCACACTTTTGCACGATAATCCCACAACCACAGTTCCTTCTGGCTTCCTGTGACCTCAGGCAAGAAAAGGTTGTGTGCTAAATGAATCTGCTTTAACTT